AGCTAGAAGCATAACAAAAAGAAAGAAGGTGCAGGATGGAGTTTTTAAAGTGCACCCTCAAACACAGATCAGGGACGTGGCTGTCATGATACAAATAAGACATGAGATCCCAGAGCCTTTTATTAGACTTACTGGTGCCAGTTTAAAATATGGCTCTAAGCCTGCAGTCATGCCACAAAAGGGCACAGGAAGTTCGTCTGTGGTTAGTTGTCTTTGCAAATTTAGGTTTGCTCAGAAACCTATGCACTTACTGTGCTGGGTCTGGCCATCAACTCAACCTTCACAGCCTACTTTAAATGGAAAAACATGCAGTTAAACTCTAGCATATTTTAGGACAAAAACTGCAGGATAAATGTTTCTAAGTGGCTTGAGAGGTTTAGGTATTAATGCTATACAACATCAGAAAAATTTGAGTTTTCTGAATTCATAACTGTTGCAGGGGAAGCTTGTATTTTTACTGTTCTAACCTCTAAAATATGCTTGGAGTCTTAGAGTTACTAGTGATGAAGTACTTTAAGATAGAGGAAAAGGCTGCATGCCAACTTTTTGCCTTAATGTTAGGGTTTGATACCATTACTCGAAAGTCTTGATGCTGGTTCTTGCTGTTGAATTATTATTTCAGTCTGCAGAGCAAATGGTTTCCCTCCATTGTTTAAATCTTTCCCACAGTTGTGAGAGAAATACTTAAGAGTACAGGAAATGGTATCTGTAAAGTAAGATTTGAAATCTGATTGCCTGAACTACTGCTAAGTTTTTACATTTCTGAAAGTTGAAGATGACTTAGTTATTTCTGTTGGTAATTTACTTAGCATGTTAAACTCATTGTACAGTAATCTCTATCAAACACACTTCTGCTTTTCTTTTAAATTGCATGATAAATTGAAACAGAATTATCTGTATACCATCATTTTATTGTTTTTTTTCCTATGTCTTCCAGCTATAGCACCGTCTTCCTGAGTTGGGAGAAAGTGAAACCTTTCTGTTCTGTGTCCAAACAGAACAATATGCAGAAGCCAATAGCAGAAGTAGGAGTGAGAATCCATTTGACTTTTTAAATTCTTACATTTGTTAATAACAGGATGGGTTATTACTATTGAATATGATGTATTTTTTTAAAAAAAGAAAGTTATTGACTTTAGTATGTGCTTAAGGGAGGAGCAGGGGGAGTTTTCAAGCTCCTCTAAAGACCTATAGGAATAAATATTTGGAATAAATTCAGTAACAAGTAGAAATAGTTGAGTTGGTTTGTGCATCTTAGCATTGATCTCCTCCTGAACTAATCACACCTCTCCTAACACATACACGGTTTAACTATACAGTGCCTTGCAGTCTGACCTATACTTTCCTGCACACCCTTCCAAGTAATTAGACAGAAGCAGGATCTTCTGTGTAAGCCTTTGAGCTTTGTTATTTCCGTGCTGTGCTCAGTGTAAAATGCAGTGCTGAGGGACTGGCCTTCAGAGCAGCATCTGGAACTGCTTTGCATCTCATCCCCTCTGAACAGGAGTGAGGAGGATTGGGTCTGCCTGTGGAGTAGTGCCCTGTCATAACCCCATGTCTGGTTCTGGTAAATCAAAGCTGTTGACAGCTGGCTTAGCTGGTTTTTTTTCATGTTCTCTTTGGAGCAAGATAATCTTTAAGGTCCCTTCCAATCCAAACCATTTTATAATTCTCTGTGTATGTTCCTGAAATGCCTAAATTCCAGTGGGAGGTTAGTCCCAGCTATCCTTTGTGATTTCTGTGTGGTTTGGGGAGAGATGTGATTTTTTTGGAGTGGGCTTTTTAAATTTTTTTTTTTCTATGGTTTATTGTTTTGGTTTTTTAGTTGATTGTTTTGAGGTGTTTTGGGAAGAAAGTACCTGTGCAATTGCTGTTAAAGTTTTAACTTCTGGATATGTTTTGGGTTGGTTTTTTTCCAATGTCTCACAGAACAGTGAAAAAGGAACCCCTGACCCCTAAAGCTTTTCTGCTTTATGCACTTCCTTGACATTTTCAAGCCCTTTGTGCTTTTGCAAGGATATAAACCTGGATATTTTATATATTCTGTGTTGCTGAACTAACTGGAAAATTTGGGGGTTTAAAAGATAGGAGCTTTGATAAATGCATTTTTCCCTTGTAATACTTTATCTGTATTCTCTGTGCTGGGCACTCCTGAAGGAGAAATTCAGTGTGAAGAGAAGTCTTGTGACAGTTTTGCCCTTAGCAACCCTTAGAAGCATAGGAGAGGAAGAATTAAAGGAAAGAGCTGCAGTGTGCAAAGTCTGAAGAATTAACATCAGTCCCTTCTTCATACACTGGAAAGAAAAGAGTTGACTGGAGGAAAGCTTTCCTGTGGTACTGGTAGAGAAGTGCAGACAGTATTTGAGACCTAGTTAAGGCCTCACAAGCAGCAGAAGTATATCACACTGCAGAAGCTTTCTGGGTTGTGATCAGTGTAGTAAAATACAATTTAAGAAACAGTTAACAAAATGTGTATTCAGTTAGTTCACCTGCAAACTTCAAATGTATTTGATAATTCCCATATAGTACATTTCAAAATTATTCTTAAGCTTTATAGTACATTTCAAAATTATTCTTAAGCTTAACCTTCTTTTAAGTTAAAAGAGTCATCATGGTAGAGTGTACCACATTGCATGTTTGCTGAACAACATATACTATCTGGATAAGAGACTGAAAACTTTGCCATGTGGCATTTATTTGCTCCCTTATGCCAATTTTTTTTCTGTTTTTTTTTTTCTTGTGAAATGAGTGGGTACAAACCTTTTGCTGAATATTTCCATCCATGTTTTTATCCATTGTGTGAAAATATGATGCTCTGTTATTAAAATCAAAAGAATCCCCATGTTGCAGGCATATATTGTAATATTGTCAGCATTTTTTCCTGTAAGAATGACAGTGGATGCAAAGGTGTGTTTACCTTGAGGAGGGATATAGTTGCATTCCAAATAAATGCTGTTTATGAAAGTTTATTAGAAATTGTCTACAGGAGAGCGAACATTCAAGGATCAGTGTATATAACGTTTTCTTTGGAAACTTTGGTAAATATATTTTTAACAGTTGCTAATCTGTTTCCTGCCTAGGAAACCAAGGAAGTCAAAATGAAAAGGAGATTATGGACATATTTGTTATTCAATGCTGTGTTGTTTCTCTGACTTCCATCTTCTGCGCAGTTAGAAACTCTGCAGGAAAGGGATATGCGGCTTGTGTTGAAAACTTTCAGATTTCCTGTTTCTCTGGTCATGTAGGTTTCTGGCTGAGCAGGTTAACCATTACTGCTGGGTTGAATCTCTCCATATTTTCCTTAGCCCTGGAAAATTTTTGGTCTCCCCTGTTCCTGACCACCCTGGACAGTTGGCAATCTTTTCCATGCAGTCTCACAATACCAGCAGTGCAGTGGCACCAGCAATGTGCATGCAAGTCCCTCTGAATTCTGCTGTCAGTTATATTTCTTGTGAATAAAGTGTTTCAGAATTCTAGGGAGCCCTGAATATAAAGGTATCAATTATGTGTCAACACAACAGCATCTGTCGTTGAAATTGGGTATCGTTTATTTGGCATCAGCATAGCAAAGATTTGGCTGACAGCCAGAGTGAAATATTCCAGCAGAAGCTGCTGCAACAGGAGCCATCTCAGAAGCAATTTGCTGAAATTCAGGTGCTCTAACATCATCTTTTAATAAATTCTTAAGACATGAGGGACCTTAAGCAAAAAGCCTTACATGTTCCACATTCTTGCCTACTATTATTTCTTTTTCATGTCAAATTTTTTTTCGTTATACCTTTCTTGGAAGAGATACATACAAGGTTCTGGGATGTATCTATCCTGTGATTTAATATACTTTTTTGGCTTCCCGCTTCTTACTTCAAGATTGTTTACATGAAAGTTCCAAATGAAGGCAATCAGTGATGTCTGTTTTGGGGAAGCTTTGCTTAAGCATGAAAGAGGCAAGGCTCTTAAAACAGGAGAGTAAGAAATTGCCCCTTGTAAAAGACGTGTGTTCTGGAGGTTTTGCGTATTTTTTCTTTTCTGAATAACTTGGCTCTTCCTTGCTTTTTCTTAGCTATTTTTGTTAGAATTAAGTAAGTTTTGCATTCACAAAGATGTAAGTCAAAACAGTAATTTCAGAAAGTTAAGAAACCCCTAAGTCTGTAACACATGCTTTTTGTCACAGACATAATAGCCATGGTTGAATAAGCATTTTCACATATCTGTGGGAAATGGGGAACTCAGATGACTTTGTTTTTATGGATGATCTTTATTGTATTTGAAGGAGGTGAAGAGGAAACTCTTTGATTTAATGATATAGCTTGTAATAGTCACCTGGTTGATTCTGATACCTGTTTAAAAATGAAAGCAGGAAGATCAGAGTTAGAAAGGAGAAAATATAGCAGAAAGGCTCAGTATCCTGTAGCATATCCCAATGTTTACCTCAAGCTTTTTTAGTGACTCTGGGCTCCAAACAGTCCCCATCCCTTCATCAAGTTTTTCACTTGGGTCCTAAAAAAAACATCCTTTCCAGGAAAGCATTAAGAACAATACAGGGATAAAACTAGTTGGGAGAAAATACACATTGGGTTTTCAGTGCTGGAGGAAAAACTTGTAGAGTAAAGATGAACTGGGTTTTTTTAAAAGGTTTTTAGGTTTTGGTTTTTTTTGTGGGTTCCTCCCCTCCTCCGAGAGGCTTGAAGGTCTGTGAAGTTGAGTTTTTCTCAGAGGGGAGAGAACAGCAAAAGGGAGGGAGATCTATCATATTGTCTGCATTTTAAATGGGCTGGTTTCTCAATAGTAAATAATGAATAGTAAATAGTAAATAATAAATAAATAGTAAATTTGGATTAGCTCTTCCTACTCTCAAAAGAAATCACAAATCTAGAGTTAAGCAATGAAACCTCTTTAGGAAAATCAATGTAACCTCTATTTAAGCTCAATTTATTCAAGAGGTCGGCTTTGTTGCTGCCCTGGCATAGCTTGAATTTAATGATTAACCTCTTAATGACTGTTCATGTAATTTACATCTGGTATTTTATATAAGCATAAGCCAAGATGATAACAGAATGCTAAAATAAAACAATATGTGCTATTCAGGGAAAAATCTCATTCCAAATCCTGTATGCAGCATGCATCAGCCCCAGTGAAACTGAGAGAAGCCCATTAAGAAATCCGATTAGCTGTCTGCTCTCTAGGTGAGTTAAAATCTCTGTCCAGTGTGGTAATCAGTGATGTCTAACTGGTGGCTTATCTGAAATAGTGCTGTCGCCTTTTATAGAGGCGCCTCTCTTGCAGTTCCGCCTGGCTTGTGTATTCATTTCAGCCACGTAGAGCACTGAGCGCCCAAGTGAGACCCTGTTATAAATTTTAAAATCCTCTTCAGAACTGAGGCCGGCACTGTTGTGTTCTGTTGTGTTGCCCTTTGTTCCAGCAGGTTTCCTTGTGAGATCTCCAGGTGCCACGTAAGGAGTAGCACACAAGAGAGGGGAGAGTGTGCTTTGTGTGAAGGCAGCATGGAAAAGTGCAGCATTAGGTTCAAGTTTCAAAGCAAAGTAATGTCAAGTACTAGTTAGTGTGCTTGTTCCAGCAGTAGTTTTCTACAGGTCAGAAGAAAAAAACCTGTATTTCGGGAAGAAATAATGGAAAATATTTCAAAAGTAGCTTTAGTTAATGCAGTAGCCTGTAAAGTCTAAATTGTTTTCCTGTTAAAATGCAGAATGTGAAAAAGGAAGTTCTAATGTCTGCAGTTTTTGATGTATTTTTTCTCCAGAAAATACAGATCTGGTGTTCCTTCTGTATCCATAGATGTTCATGTCCATGGAGAGACCTGGCTGAATGAAGCCTGTGGAGCACTGCAATAGCAATCGAGATGAAGTGCCACATGGGAACTGAACTTTTCATCAGCTCTTGCCACATAAATATAGTCCTGAATCTTTTGAAGGTGTCATCTGTTGGTGATTGCTTCCCATCAGTGTTTGTTGATCTTCTATTCCTTTCACTCAGAGGGGGTGAATTTAGACTGCAGCAGTTTTGATAATTTGGGGTTTCTTAATTGTTGCATACTCTTTGCTTGTGGGTTCCATTAAGTTACTGGGGTCTCGGCCAAACTTTGTATCTTATTTTGTATTTCATTCTATACTTGCTGTTTTGAAATATATTAATAGTGTCATTTCTGTTTAGGTTTATGAACAATTTTGATCTGTTTTTAGCCTCCTCAGCTGATTGAAACTTCAGCTTGCCCTCAAGGAAAGTGAGGTGATACCTGTGGTACAGCATGATAGATAAGAGGTTATGCTTCACTCTCCCTGTTCTCAGAAATCTGCTTTGTAGTTGTAGTTCTAGTTTCAAATCTCGGTTAATTTGTGAAAAGAAATCTCACTTCTCTCTGGGAAAGAGGGGTAAGCAATGGCTGATGGCCTGTATCATAGGAGGAGTAAGCAGATCTGATGCCTCCAGGCCTTTGTAGAAAAAAGATGGTTCTCAGAGTCCTGCTGGAGGTGGTGTGTACTCAAAATATGTTTTGAGGTGTCCTCACCTCAAAATGCACAGAATGTACTTGTTGATTCTCTAGGGTTTTGGAGACACATGCTCCAGGAGTATGGGTACAGTACACTTGGTATTATTTAGAATATTTAGGTTTTGGTCTGGTTAGTAAGAGGCTCTGTTAAGCCACTGCCTGGTTTTCTGCTCAGATACTTAGTTTATTTCCCCCTCTGTGTTGAACCTCCATTCTTTTTCTCAGTGTCATCTCTTCTTCCCAGTTCAAATTAGTTACAGTTTTGGAGGAAATTAATATTTTCCTTTTCTTTACACTTACACCAGAAATTCAAAGGACAAAATTCCTCTTCTTCACTTTCAGGAGTGAAGTGTTATGTTATAGTACCCTTGGATTAAATACTGAGGTTGCTAATCTACTTCCTGGACTACAGTTCTTGTATAGAGGAACAGCTTGTTTGGAGCAGTATTCACAGAATCATTTCACTCACTATTTTCAAGTCAGTACCGCAACCTTATGTAAGCCAGTCTCCATCCACTTAACTCCAGGACAAATGCAGTGATTAATATTTATATAAAAGCTTTCATGTTTCCACAGTGAAATTGTCTCACTTTGAAAAGAAAAGGTGTCTTTTTCCCTGTCGACTTGGTGTGAAAAAGCTTGCAAAGGCTTCCAGCAGCACTGCATCCGAGACAGGCATCAGCAGAAGGACTGAGGTCATCTTTAATTCGGTATTTCATTTTGTGAAATTGCCTACTCCAAGAGAAATAAAACATTTACATGTATATTAACCAGTGTTTGCCAGCCCTTGGAATAAAGCCAGTTCTCTCAGGGCCAAACAAACGCTCTGAGTGAATGAGTAATAATCTGCAATTGTCACTCCTAATTTATGGATGAGTAGATAGAGCAATGTTTGCCATTTTAAGTTGTCCTATTCGCTTGAAAGACTAGAAATCATGATTAGCTGTTGGCTTGGAGTATCAATAGCATGTCTTTTTATAGCTGATTTACTCAGTATAGCTGTTGCAAAAGTGCAAGACCTCCCCACATGAGAAGAAGTAATTGTGAAAGAAGATGAGAACATATGAAGGTTACAGATGTTTTGGGACAGTAATTTGGAGTCCACAGCCAGAAGATGAAGGATACATGGCATCTCCTCTTTGTAAATTACATGCAAGGTCTCCCTGTGCCTCGTTTATTTTCTGAGGAAATCTCTATCGTCATCTTCTCATGTTAAGAGAAAATTTAAAAATGGATTCCCAAGATGATGTCTGTATTGGCTTTTGTTGTTGATAAGTAAGAGGAAGCATGCAAGGCATGCTACTGATTATCTTGCAGTGATCTTTCCTGTCTCCAAGCCTTTCTATTTGCTTAATTTTCCAACAAATGCAGTTAAAAACAGTTTTGGAAACTTTATTTTACACATTCATGAGCGTGCTTTTGTCATGAGGTTAACAGCAATCTTGCCATGATTAGAGTTAAAAACAGCAATCAGACTCTCTTTTGGTTGAGAAAGAGGTGTGTTTTTAATAGGAATACTTAAAATGCTACCTTATAAAGCCGGTATTGTAGACTGCAGGGAGTCAAATAGCACAGCCCCTCTGGAGTAGGAGTTTATGGGAATGAGAGTCACTCTTGAGATTAAATTGTCTGCAGAGTATCCTGTGAAGTCTTCCATGAGGTCTCCTGACTGTTTGTGGAGGAGGCTTCTCCATCACACCTAAATTTGTAGGCAAGAGATAGCTGAGAAGTACAAACCTCGGCTGTCAGGCACTAAAAGCAAAGACACACAGTGCAGAGGTGAGACCTGTCACTGATGTCTGTCTTCTCTGATGGATGGACTCTTCCATCCACTTCTTTCAGTATTTTACTTCCATGCAGCTTTTCTTCTGTGTGCTGGTTTGTCTTTGTTTTCATTTTGTTTCTTTTTTTCCCTGTGCACTAGGAGGCCTCTCCTGCACTTTCTGTCTGGGCTTCATTATCTTGCTCACCTACTTGTGCTGCATCATAACTTTTTTCTTCCTTTCCTCCCACTGCATTAAACTTCCTATCTGTCATCTTGTCAAATGAAATAACAGCAAGAGCAGTCGGTGTTGATGTTGTAGATACCAGGATGTCCACAGCCCAGGGTGCAGCCATTAATATTCTGTCTGTAAGCTGTGGAAGACAGACTCTGAAGAGGTGCCTTAGGACATGATTCCTCAGCCCCTCTTGAAAGGTCAGACATAGGACTTAACTTCTCTACTGTGTAGCCTTAGCTGTCACTTGGTGTTTGCAAGCACTTGGATAAGATTAAAAACTAATATATCCCTCTTTAGAGAGAAGGTCAAATAGTACGTGATTCAAACCCTACATGTACTGGATCATGGCAGGAACCTTTAAACACCCATTCCCTGCACATGCACAGCTCCCAAAACCATCCGTGAGCCCCAGTGCTGACTTGACTTCCACTGTTGGGGTTCCAGGAGCAACTTGGTTTGATTGTTGAGTGTCTGCTTTTGAACTGACGAGAGCGATCTACTGAATACTCCGGTAGAATTATATATATATATAGATATAATACACATGTCAAATGTGTCTGGTTTAAACAAGGAAGCAAAATAAGTTGTATTTTTAAGAGCTGGTCAGCATTATCTTAATAATAACTGGGGGGGTGAGGAGAGCTAACTGTACCACAATACAAACAAAAAAATCCCCAAACAAAACACTGAAGAAAAAAACCCCAAACAAACCTAACAAAAAAGCAACACCCCAAAGAGGAAAAAACCCACCAATTTACCCAGCAGCTTGGAGCAATATTTCATGAAATTGCTTTAAAATATGAAACTATTAAGATTAATCCAAATCAGTCTATGCAGAGTAAGATAGATAGATGTGTGCTTAGATCTCAGCAGCAGCAGGTGCTTGCAGTATTATAAATAGAAAGCAATACAAATTGAGGTGCTTATTAAATTTGCCTTTATGATGCTTTGAAGAATTGCCCTATAACAGAAAAGAAAAATTACCAGAGGCTCTGGGTTAGAAGGATGACTTAAATAGCTGTGCTGCCAAAGGAAACAGAACATAAACTAAAATAAGTGATAGACTTGTTCAGAAAAGGTTATCTAACAGTGATTTGTCTCTAGCATGGAGTGGTTGGCCAAGAGCTTTGGATGGATGGGATTGAACACAGGAGGGCTTAATTTTTTTCATCAGTTTTAATACGGTATTGAGTTTTAATATGTTTTCCAGGAGATTGCACTGTAATCCTTTCTAGCACTTCTATTTCTGAGGTTTTTCCTTGTTTCCCTCTTCTTCTTCCCCCAGCTGACAAGACCTAATTCTGAAGGAAACGTTCATGTTTGTGAAATGGACTCGTTCAGAATTTTTGCGGCCTTTTTGGATAAGGCCATGGTGAGGATCCTGTGTCTTACTCAGAACTTTCTAGTATTCTTGAAACACTGTAGGGCCTCCACAGAAAAGTGGCTGAGCATAGCAGCTAAGGAATTGTCAAGTAAACCAGATCAGAGCAACAGGCTCAACTGGAAGACCAATAAAAATAGATCAAAATCTGCAATGTTTTTTTCTTTAACAATATACTCAAATTGATTTAATTTGGCAGGGAGCATACCAGGAAATCTTAGCATGGGAAAATAAGCGTGTTGGGGAGGAGCAGATTGCTCTGTGTAAGATCTGCTATCCTAGCTTTTAATAACAAAGCACAGGTATCCTTGGTGATGGAAAGGACAGCAGTGGCACAGTGTTGGTCCTGCACCCTTCTCGTTGGGTCACTGTCTTGGAAAATGCCTGCCACAGAAAAAGCAAGGTTGGAAATCGTGATAACATGTGGATATGCAGAATGAATCATTATCACTGAGTGAAGGGAGAAAGGGAACTCTTGTAGACAACTGGACTTCTGGCATCCATACCCAGATGTCCCTGGCCCTGCATGCCTGGGCTTATACAAAGGGCTGGTGTGCCATACCAAGCATTCAGTGTATTTTAGCTATCATTAGGAAATCAGTTGCAACCTTAGGAGTTGCAGGAAAAGGATGGCTAAGGCAGTGCACCAGCATGACTACCCTTGGAAAACAGCATCAGGGAGTGAAGCTTAGTCTTGCACTGAGCTTACAGGGGTTAATGCAGTATCACTGGTGACTGAGAGCACAGTGAATGTAGCAGATTGCTTTAAAAACAACCGAGTGAAAAAGGGACTAAATGAGAAAGGTGAATGTGACTAGTGTTGCATAGGGGAAGGTGATGTTTTGGTCTTGGTAAGTGCTTTAAAAGGAGGTCACTTGTACCAGTACTGTGTTGAACTGTGGTACTGATCAATAGTTGTTTGCTGAGTGTTGTAGAAGAACTTCTGAGACATCCTTTCCTGACTACCTGGGCTTGCTCATAATGGACTCTGTTAACACATGGCTCCACAGCATTTGCTTTTGCTTCCAAGTTTTTGAGCTGGGGGAAAGTCTTGGCAGTAGAACTGTAAATAAGAATATATAAATACGTGGTGCAAGAACCAGTGTTGCAGAGCTGATGAGGCAAAACAGGTTTGTGTTTACAGGGTGCCTTTGCTGAGGAATTCCCTTTGGTTAGATTGTGCAAAACCTTCTTCTTTCTGTTTGTAATTTTATTAAGTCTTAATTAAACTTTCTGCATTTAAATTAGTTTACATTAATGTCACACTGTCTTATTATTGACAGACGCTAACAGGGATTTGATCAGCCTAATCCAGCTGTATGTAATTATGTGCCTTCCCCTTAAATAATTGCAAAGAGTCTATCAATCATGGCAGGAAAGCCGACTGCTTTATTACAATGTGGGATTGTTTAGTGAAATGTAATAAGACTTCAGATTTAAGCTGGGGAGTAAACAGAATAAGCTTTTACTGAGACCAGTAGTAGGAACAAAAACTTCCCCACCCATCCTGTGTTGCAAGTCTGAGTTCTTATCTTCCCTCCCCCCACCCCCCTTCAAAAAAAAAGGTGTCCTGATTGCATTGTTTTCACACTGATGTTAAGAACATTCCTGTACCTGAAAGGAATTTGGGAAAGGTGTAGATTTCTGGCTGATGGATGAAGAGCTCTAGCCTAAACCTGTAGTGTTCTTCTAATGTAAGGTGGAGGCTTTTATTTCATTCATTGATAACTTGATTATCCAGATCAAATGTGAGCGTGTAGAAAGCAGCAGCAGAGGTGGGAATGAAATCTGTGAAATGGCAGCACTGCATAAGCTCTAAAATAAAGCTTGGAAAGCGAGTAAGGAGGGGAGTAACAGGTGCCCACTTCATCGATTGTATTTGGGTCGATTTCTGTGTGATTTAGTTACTCTCCAGTGTCATGCAGACCTTCCCTGGCACATGTAGAAGCAGGGAGAGACAGGCATGTTGCCAGCAGTCTTTCCTCAACCTCCTACTGGAAAACTATCTGTGCCAAGAAAAGCTTGAAAAACCAGAACTTCAGACAAGCCCCAAAGGGGATGAGTTTGAGATCTGAACCCCTCATTCAGTGTGTTCAGACATTGCAGCAGGCTTGCTTTAAATCTGTGAATACTCAAAGATACTGTATAAAATAAAATGGTAAGTGGTGTTGTGAGTGCAGTGCTGTGCATTTTCCCTTGTGGGACCCCTGGGGGTTTCAGGAGCCCAGGTGAATGTCCATCTTGCTTATTCCTGTGCCAGATAGTTCTGTTTGTTTGAGCTAGAAGACCAAGATTTCCCTTTGTGCCTTCTGAAGAAACAAACTGTTTC